TTTTTAAATGCCAGCAAAGTATTATTGTTTAAAACTCATGTTTGCATCAAAACATCACATTGGACATAATGCCCTTGTTGTATTAATCAGTATGTATTTATCCTCAGATTAGCCTTAAATAGCAATTAAATGAAAGGTCGCATTAGAGCAAGTTTAAGGGTGGATTGAAAAATAAATAGAGGCTGTTGCATCAGTATTATCAGTTCTCCTTAGTCTTAGTTATAAGCACGGAATCACCATAAGATTGTTTTCAGGCATAAGAGCAATAATCATAAATGGGTTTATTTAAGCAATAACATGTAAGGTTTAGGGGATTTCCTGGGCAATGATGATCGACTTGTGTCAGTGCAGAGCGGTGACATCACCATCAGCGCCATGCTGTAATGACTAATACAGTTTCATATACAGGTCATATCAAGAAAAATAATGTTCTCTGCTGTTTGATCAGTAGCCAATCAGTTTCATGAACCAACTCTCACAGTTTCATTTAATTTAAGTTTGTAAACCAAAATAACTAAGATTATGATAACTGGTAATATTTTGGCACTCCTAAAACTTAATGAGTGGAGTATTTTACATGTTTATAATTTAGACTGGCAACTTTACATCTAAATATTGACATAATTGCATGCATTTGCCTTTCTTTCTCTGAAGCACTTAGCGAACCTTGACTTCTGAAAGCTAATGTCTCTCTGATTTATTTTGACATGATAATGATAAACATTTCATTTTTCCACTTGCCAGTTTTTGTGTAATTTGACATAATCTGTACATAATTAAGAACACTCACCTTTGATGGATCAACTATTAGGTGAAATCTGGTAGTTACTATAGGTTTGATTTACAGAGAACCTGGTGCCCATAGCTCAGTCAGTCAAAGCTGTAGGTGCTTAGCACCTTCAAAAATCAGCCCATATGTGTCCAATTCACCACTTATTTGGCAAGCAGTGGGAACTTTGCCTGAGAAAGGAGTGCTGAATAGGTACTATCAGGAAAATCATGGTCCTATAGAAGTCAATAGCAAAACTCCTGGTGACTTCAGTGAAGCCCAGATTTAACCCAATGTGTTCAATGAGTCATGTTTTGATACCCCTTGGTTAACTGTCGAGTGAGGTCTCATTTTATTGTGTGTATTAACCATGTAAACATATGAATAATCTGTAATCATCACTAAGGCTATGATTTACTCATGGTTATTTTTAGTAAAAGTCATGGTGTGAATTTGTTTATTGCCCATGACCTGTCCATGACTTTTACTAAAATTACCCATGACTAAATTGTAGCCTTAGTGATGATTATAGATTATTCATATGTTTACATGGTTAATACACACAACAAAATGAGACCTCACTTGACAGTAAACCCGGGGGTATCAAAACATGACTCATTGAACACTAATTATGGGAGGGGCTACTCTTGGTGGGGCCGCTGCTCCGTGGGGAGGACTAGGGGCTGCTGCTGGGGTGGAGGGCAGGGCCAGTGGCACCAGCTGCCATATGCCGCCCCGGGACCGCTGGGCAGCAGCCTGTGCAGCTGGGCCCAGGGTCACTCAAGCAGCAGCCAGTGTTGAGTCGCCCGAGCGGCTGGCTGCCGTTTCACTCCAGCAGTGGCTGGTGTGGCTGTCCCCAAGGCTACCTGAGCAGCTGGCCCCAGAGCCAGCTGTTTGGGCAACCCTGGGGTCAGCCACACTAGCCCCTGTAGAAGTCACAGAATCCATGGTTTCCGCGACCTCCGTGACAGACGTGGAGCCTTAATCATCACCCAGTGAGATATTATATTGTTACAAATACACTACAAAAATCATTTTCACAGTTTTCCTGCAGTTCATTCAATACATCTCCATTCATAAAAGATCTCTCTCACTTAATATGAAGCAAATGCAGTACAGTGGCAACCAGGCTGGTACTTGTTAGTAGCACTTTTCACTACAGTGGTACTAGCCAGTATTACTACTAACCGACTTTGGCATCAGTGGTAAAGAAATTGTTCTCTGGGAATACACTAGTTAAAATTCAGTAAATAAAATAAGTATGTGGGTAGTAATATTCCTTCTTAAAAAGAAACCTAAACACAATCAGGGCCGACACCAGTGCAGGAAGCAGGTGCTTGGGGCGGCCCATGAAAAGGGGCGGCACATCCGGGTCTTTGGCAGGAATTCGGCGGCAGGTCCCTCTCGGAGGGACGGACCAGCCGCTGAATTCCCACCAAAGAATGAAGTGGCGCCGTTGTGCTGCCGCCGATCGCAACTTTATCTTTTTTTTTTTCTTCTTTGCTGCTTGGGGCGGCAAAAAAGCTGAAGCCAGCGCTGAACACAATAGCACTGAAAAGACAGGATTTATCTTTCACCGTTCCTTTTACCACTTTACTACCACTGCCTTATCAGTAGACATAATTGTATTGCAATGACTTCTGTAATATCACAAAGGAAATGGAATACTTCCATTAGAACAACGGCGATCCTCTGTCATAGCTCGCTGATAACTGTACTGGAGTATCAGAGGGGTAACCATGTTAGTCTGAATCTGTAAAAAGCAACAGAGGGTCCTGTGGCACCTTTAAGACTAACAGAAGTATTGGAGCAACTGGAGTACTGGAGTAGTAATGCAGAGGAAATTTGGAACAATTCATTCCAAGGAGGTAAAATATAAGCAACATCTCCACAAATGACATGATCCTGTGCTCTTCCATACAACACATTTCAACACATCTCTTGTGAAAACCTGTTTATTTAAAAAAGCTTTAGTCATGATTGCAATTAGTCAATATTGCAGTAATCTCCTGTTTTTTAAATGAATCCTTCGCACTCTCCAAACTATATTGTTTTTCATCCAAGGATATCAAAACATTTAAAAATGTTAAATTAATTATACCTCACTGTACTCTTGTGAGGTAGGGAAATATTTTAATAACAATTACAGTTGGTTAAATAACTGACCTAAAATTAACCAGCAACGGCTCAGACTAGAGATTAGAACAACTCGAGACTGCTAGGGTCACTCTATAACCACGAAATCTTACTCAACACCAGACTTGAATCAAACATACAAAAAAATTGCATTTAGCCTTGTCTCTGTTAATTAATTATTCGTGAACTGACTTTGACTTTTACAAGTTGTTCATTATTCAAAATTGATGTACACTTTAGGTGGAAAACATTTCAGAGTGGGTCATTTGTAAAGTGTTCTCAGCTTTGATTATTCTGGGGTATGCTAGGTCATCAGAGTCATATGGTTTTCTTTAAGCTCTTCACCTGAGTGATTGAATACTTTTATAAAGAGGCAGAAGGAAATCAAAGTGACTTTCAAGTATGTGACCGAGTCTTGTGCAAACCTTCACTCTGATGAATCTGCACAAATATTCCTGAGACTTTTGCTGCCTGTGAATCAAAAAACATCAAACGATCATTCACTGAAAACTAACAAAGGGATATGAATACAATCAAAGTGAATTCATGAGGCCAAATTCTCTACTGGTGTAAGTCAATGCTGCTCCATTTAAGTCAGTAGAGCTATCTTGGTTTAGACCTGCTGAAGCTTTGGCCCAGGGCTTTTATGCAAATGAATATTTGAAAATACTTTTTTGCCCAACTCATCTCAACACTACCCCTTCCACACACCCTCCCACTCACACAACTGTAGAAGATTATTGAAGTTTAAGTTAAGACATCAATATTAACTTTTGCACTAAGTACATCAAGCCCTGTCTAAAGCTTATTGTGATTAATAGTGTGGCTGTACTATGTGTAGCGGAAAATATTGCCAGAAAATGTCAAAACGAAGTTGGGATTTTCAAACTGGATCCTAATCCTTGCCTACTTTTTATTTATCACAGTTTCATTCCCATGCTATGCCACTTAAGATATCACATACATCTCAATATTTGGGTAGCAGTAATTCCCGCCTTGTTTGGACATAGATGAAAGAAACTCAAGAGAGTCAATAAATTAATAGATTTGCTGATCCTTTCCAGTATTCATACTTTTTTCGTTTCCTAGAAAGGACCTCATACAGCTTTAATCACAGTAGAAGCTAATTACCTCAAACCAGTAACAACTTTAAGTATGTTAAATGTTCCTTTCCATATGGAAAAAAAATCTAGAGTTTACAGTCTTTTTATTCAATATTTGAATTTATTTTAAAAACAGTGTTAATGTTTCTGCTTGAAGTACCTCTTCTATTTTCACTGCACTTATAATTGCATGTGTGAAAAGTAAGTAAAATAGCACCTGCTGTAGTTGTGACTGTTGTCTTTAGGGACCTAATGTTTCAGAGACAAGCTGAGAATTGGGATGATAAGATCAAGGAATTTTTTAATCCCCTTCAGCTCTTAAATGGATTGTTTTAAATTACATAGATGTCTGTGAAACCAAGCCATTCTATGACACCTGAAGGACAGGTAACCATATGGTACAGTAGCTCAGTTTTAAGTGCTATAAAAACTCCAGTATTGAAGGTACCACATAGGATATTGATTATTCTACAGTTAATATGCAGCCAGAAAACCCAGGACAAATGAAATGTAATGACATGCAGTGGCCCTTTGTCATAATCCTTGGGTCATCAGAATTCTAGGTATCATGTGGCTTCTGTCAAGAAACTAATTTCTTCTGAATAGGAATACTATACACAAGGTCTACCTGTTGTCTCTATGACAATGGTGTCCCTGATAAGCCATGCCAAGAAAAATGACCAAAAGAAATTTCCTCCAGCTATTATTTGTATTTGAAATATTTTTCTTGATTTTTTTTTGGACACTAATAATGCTGGGAAACTAATGTGCCTGAGTCTAGCCAGCCAAGATTTGGTCAAAGAAATGTAAGATTCACATGCAGCTATTCTGTTCATCTCCTTAGGAGCATTTTCATACTTACTTACAGCATACTTAAGACATTGGCCTTGGCATCAGTTTTTCCATGAAAAGTTTAGGTGCTATAAAGCAAGTTAGAGCCAAGATTTTTTTTCTGTTGCTCATGTTAGTGAATTCTCTTTTCTCTTTCTTAGAGAGCCGACATAGGGATTTCTGCTTTAACCATTACCCCTGATCGAGAAAATGTGGTAGATTTCACAACCCGTTACATGGACTACTCAGTGGGTGTGCTGCTTCGAAAGGCTGAGAAGACCGTGGACATGTTCGCCTGTTTGGCACCATTTGACCTCTCCCTGTGGGCCTGCATAGCTGGCACTGTGCTTCTGGTAGGACTACTGGTCTACCTTTTGAACTGGCTCAACCCACCACGCCTGCAGATGGGATCAATGACTTCTACAACACTGTACAACTCCATGTGGTTCGTTTATGGATCCTTTGTGCAGCAAGGTAAGAAGCAAAATTAATCTTTAGCACAGAGGAAAGTATACATGCTATTCCAGCTATCATGGATTCTTATGACTCCTCTATCCCTGGGTGGCTTAAAAGCATCCATGAAGTCTAAGCCTTTGACATGCAGCAGCCTTCTGTATGTGTGATGAAAAGCTCAGAATCGTTACATGCTAGCCTGTTTTACTTTGTATTTGTCTAATTCCATAAAAGGCAATGTCTGTCACCACAACTCTGAGTAGAGTAATTCTAATACTTTACTAGCAGGTTACTCATAAATAATGTTCATAATAGGTTCTGATGCCAAATCAGACAGAAAATCTTTGAAGGTAGCTTTGGATCTAAATTTAGAATCTTCACCTGTGCAATTGGGTCTTATTACTATGTCTACTGTTGACTCATCTCAATATTTCTGTGTCTTTTTTTAGTCTCACCTAGGCGTTTTTAATCTTATTGGATACTTTCTCTGTCTCCTCTAGCATTCTGATTGACTAAGGTTACTCCTCAGTGCCATTTATACTCTGTTTCTTCAAACCCGTGCCCCTTGGGCAGAAGTTTAGTCAGATATCCCTGAAGGATCGCAGATTGCTGACCCAGACTTAGTAGATAAACTTTGTGCCACTATGTCTTAATATTCTGACATAGAAATTAGAGGTTAACACTACTACAAACCAGAATCAGAAAACCAAATCAAATACTGGCTCTGGAAAGGAATGTAGAAGACTCAGAAAACTAAAAATAGTTGGACAAGTGGAACAATAGCCTTTAGCATTTGTACGTGCAGTCTTTCATGGGTCAGTACAGGCACAATAGATGCACATGTCTGCTAATCCATGGAGCATCTGCTGTATAAACAACCATCACTGCTGCAGTCTCAAAACTCCCACATAGCTCGTGGACTTAAGCTTGAACCTGGATGAAATTCTATATATAAAGTGCCTTCCATTGACTTTGGTATTATGAAATGGAATATTTTAGAAATTACATTATTCTCCCCTTTGGTAGTTGTCCAGATGGTCATGGTGCATGAGATACCCCATGATACAGAAAGAACCCAGTTTGACTTTCAGATCCCAGCTTGAGTTTGCAGAGTTGACAGTTAAGAAAAATCACTTCTGTTTACTGAGCAAATTTGATAGGGACTCACTGAGACACAAGATCCCCTCTGTCACTTTAACCACCCAAGCTCAGCTCTTGACATTGGCACTGAAGTTTTCCCCAAATAACATGCTGCCCACAGCCCAGGCATCAATTGCACCTTTCAGATGGAACCCATTTTTCAATGGATGGTGTGTATCCAAGGGATTATTGCTTGATATTGACCCTACCACCTGTGCCCCATCCCTACCATCCTTAATTCCCTGTGATCCCCTAAAGCTGCATATTAAACATTTCAAAGAGCCAAGTTTGTTTAATTATCCACTTCAAGTTCATGAATTATCTGAATGGTCCACTTTAGCCCTTCCACATAAGTCTCTGCTCCCCAATGTATTGACTTGTTTTAGGGTCATAGCTCTTTTTGAGGCCATGACCCTCTGTTTGGTGCTCAGTAAGCAGACAAAGAAAAAATTCCCAGTCACTCTCGTGAGCCAAATTAAACCAATATAAAAGGGCAGGAGGGGGAAAGAATAAGCACAGGAAGGGAGCATGGAGAATGGAGTGTGAGAGCCACAAATGAACGAGACGGAAACAAAATAGTCCAGATGGCAGATGGGCAGAGTTGTTGGAAAGAGTGAAGGAAGGATATTTCCTCAGGAGATTCACAAGCATGGCTTTTACTGATAGGATGAGGAGTGTGAGGAGTTACTCAGTACAAATAAAAGCCACAGGAGGGACATGATGGCTGATAGGACAAAAACTACTGTGGGAAACATGCAGAGGAAGCCCACAAGCTTGGAAAGCTGAGAGAGGCTTTTACTTGAAAAGAGAGAGCTTACCCCACCATGTGGATTTTCAGCACACACTTCTCACAATCCTCTGTGAGAAGTGTGAATGTTCCTTTTGTTTTTGTTGCGTGTGTAGAGTCAAGGAAGACGAGTCTCCTTCAAATGGCAGGTGGAAGGACACCCCTTAATTTGGTAGATGAGAAAAAGACATGAATTTAATAGGGTTGATAGAAAAATATATGAT